GCTCTCGCTGCCTGCTAAAGGGCAAGGCCCTTTACCGTTCACTTCTCTTCCTGTTCTGGTTTTGCCTGGCCAGGTACGACGCAGCCACCAACGAGCTCATTAACGAGGAGCTGGGCATCGCCTACCCCATCATCGACGGCATCCCCAACATGATCCCGGAGGCGGCCAGGAGCACTCAGAAGAAGCCCCCGGCTGAGGGCTCGCAGCAGCCCTGAGGACCCACCCGGCACAGCGGTAAACTGGGGGCGATGGCCAGAGGAGCCATGCTCCCCTCCCTGCCTACGCTGACCGTCCTGGTTCCCCTCCTGTCCCTGGCGGGGTTGTTTTACTCGGCCAGCGTCGATGAAACCTTCCCGCAGGGCTGCACCAGCACCAACAGCTTATGTTTCTACAGCCTCCTCCTTCCCATTACAATACCAGTTTATGTATTCTTCCACCTGTGGACCTGGATGGGGATTAAGCTTTTTAGGCACAACTAGTGCAATGCATTTGCTAACCCCTGGGCTTCTCTAAAGCAGTGCAGGTTATTTAATCTCGTCAGGTATTGCAGCTGATTTGAGAGAGTTCCTTTCTGGCACTAGTGACTGCCATAGTTTCCCCAATGGTATTCGGCACTATATAAAGTCCTCTGCAGCAGCCTATTACTTAATTACCGCTAAGGCAGATAAGGAGGAAGAATAACAAGAGGCACTAATTCCTCCTAGTGTATCCCTTCAAGAGTGTTGTGCATTTGTAGTGGCACTAATGGAAATCCGCTGGGTGGTGATCGTTTTTACAAGGAAAAACTGCACCCTGACTGAAATAACTGATCTTAAATAATAAGCAATGGCAACATGCAGCAATATGAATCTCGCTTTGAATTACAAGCTTCGGTTTTGTTTTGAACCGATGTGCACATTGAAATGTATTTGTCTCACTGTCAGAATAACAAAATAAATTAGGCTGATGTTAATAACAAAACTTGAGTTAAGTGAAGAAATTTACTTGGATGATCCCTGCATCTGTATGTCCAGTAGCTGCTTGCTTGGTTTTTTTTGTTGGTTTGGTTTTTTAAGAAAAAGGTGGGGAAACGACAGCGCTGCAGAGAAGATGTACGTGTGCATTTGGGGGTTTTGTTAGAATGGCCTCCCACATACTCCAGTGTCTGCCTGGGAGATGTATGTCCCTGTACTATTTGTTAAATGTGTCTGAGTGCCCGACTTTGATAGCCAGGCTGGGTCATCTTCATTAAAGTGTCATCTCCTGACAGGTTAGAGGAAAAATAACTCCAGCTGAGCCCAGGATTTGGTAACCAAGTCAGCAGCTACAAATACTGGTTAAGCATATACAGTATTTTTCCTCTTAGGATGATCCTCCTCAGTAGAGAGGGAACAGAAGATAGTTCTGCTAAATGCTTCAACCTTCCCTGTTTTCATTTACAGCAACACTAAATGGAGTGACAGACCATGATGAGGCTGTCAGGTGTAAAAAACTACGTTCTCGGTACTGTCTGACAAAATGTCTCAACAAGACACAGCTATGAAGGAGATACGATAACGTATTACAAGCGTTCATTTTTCCTGGTTTGTTACTGGGTGGTATATATCTGCAATGCAGGCACATGAATGTCCTTTACCTGCTAAAAAATTCAGAAGGGCTGTACCAAGTTGTAAATACTGCGAACCTCAGTGTCTCTTGGTGGGATACTAAAAATGCAGTCAAATGGGTGAGGCTGCTGCTGCCCGAATAATGCTGTGATGCACAGTATGAAAGGCAGCGTCCGCAAGAGGTGTATTTGAAGGCTGACTAAGTACAGCAGAGGTAGAGGGCAGTACACAGCACATTGCCTCTGTAAATAAATGCCTCTTTCAGCTGCAGCAGCGAGGAGAAGGGGGAAGGAAAGGTAGCTCTAGGAGCCATTTGTGAACCTTCTTCTAAGTGTACAGGAAGGAAAAGCTCTGGTTGGCAAGAAGGCTCAGTTGGAAATAATCAGAACTGGGTGACAGGGCCCTGAGGTTGACAGTTCGTGCTGCACAGGTGTGGTGCCCAGCTCTGATGGCCCTTGTGTTGGTGACTGATACAGGCATGGTGCCTGGCTCTGGTGGCCCTTGTGCTGGTGACTGATAGAGGCATGGTGCCTGGCTCTGATGGCCCTTGTGCTGGTGACTGATAGAGGCATGGTGCCTGGCTCTGATGGCCCTTGTGCTGGTGACTGATAGAGGCATGGTGCCTGGCTCTGATGGCCCTTGTGCTGGTGACTGATGTGGCACGTGGTCCCTGAGCTGAGCTCCACCCTGGGCTGGTGCCCTGTTCCCACATCAGCCATCCAGTGGCTTTTGCAGGGCAGGGCTAGCGTTGCAATACCTGAAGAAAATGCAGCTGCCAGGACTTTCGGGTTTGTGTGGAAACCACAGACTAAAGCCACACAGAGACAGCAGCACTGTAATTTCCACCTCTCTTGCTGGCATTATCCTTCCTTTCCCTTCAGGCAACCATGAGAGAAATGGGTTTTGTGGCTCACCAGTTTTTTCACATACAGCAAACTAGCCCAGAGTCTTTAAAGTCAGTCTAGCAGTAATATAATGGACTTTGCCAATTACCAGTTTCCCGAGCAATCCTATTACATTACCTCAAAGCATCTTCACAGAAAATAGCACTACCACTTGCATTTAATTTATGCCAATAAAGACTGATGGATACCAGAAATGAGAATGTAAGATACTACCCTCCAGATTTACTCTACATCCCCCAGGGAACATGTTTTATAATTATTTGATGAGTAGTTGTTCTGCTGTATGCTCAGTGAATACTGAAACCCTTCTACCAATACTTCAGTAACACTGAAAACCAAAGAACACTGTAGTAACATATTCAGAGCTAACAAATAATGCAGTTCAGTATCTTACCTTTATAGTCTTCGCAAATTGCCAGTCTGGTGCGTTCTTTAAGTGGGTCCATATGTCTTGCAGAAGGCTCTGTCTTTTGACTGGAAAAAGCCAGTAGTTCCTGCCCGTCACTCTAGAGTACCTCTGAAGATTGACGTAACAGTGTGTTAGTGGCATGTTTCTCTCCTAAATGGTAAAAAAAAATATTGGCCACACTTACATCATTGTAGGGGTTGGACAGAGCGTTGCATTCTGTATAGTGAGCAGCGATCTTGTCTTGCATGTCAAAGATGCATGGATATTTGATCAGCTTCCATAGGACCGTCTGGAATGACAAGGAAGGAGGAAAAAGATGCATTGATTTTCCCTTGCAAAGTCAGAGTTCAGAGATGTATATGCAGACTGAACTGTCGGACTGTACCCTGGCAGTCTCCTCTATCTCCGAAACACGCTCTTGTGTACCTGAATAATGCACCATCAGAGGCACGCTTTCTAAAAGCACCTTCTGAATGCTTCTGTGAGTGGAAAACCTTGACAGAGAGTCATCTGAACTGTCTATGCGGGCAGACACTGGTGGTACAGTGCCCCAAGGATATAACAGACAGATAGTGATTGTAACAGCGTCGTCTGTAACTCAGCTAAACCAAGACACATAGCAGAAACATCCTGGACACCCAGGTTATGGTACATCGTTGTTAATGACTGTTGGGTTTATTTTCTGTAATACCAAATACCAATATCGGTATACAAAATAATCTAATTCAAAGTGTTACACCTCTGGTGTGATAAGGCAGCAACTTCAAGTAATGTCCTATTTGTCTTTCGATTCTATACTGTTTCTCAAATGTCCTCAGCTCTGGTTAACTGGTACAAAATTGGTACATTAGCAAATAAAATCTTATGAAACAATTTGGCTGTTGCTCTGTGAATTCCAGCCAAGTTGTTAGAAAACTGCATTTTTTTGCCTAAGGAAGCCCCTACTGTCCACGTTTCCATTTGATGCTGCTCCAAACGCACCGATTGCATTTGGTACCTAATTTTCACTCTTTCATGTCATCAAGAAATGAACCATTTTGCAGGCTATTTTTTATTACCACAGCTTTGGTTTTGGATGTGAGTAAACTGAAATGTGTTTCTATAAGTTTTTTTTCAGTAGCATTTCTACATAAAAGTTTAAAAGAGACTGTTTTCATTTCTGTTAATGAAACATAATAAAATCCAGAGTAACAAGAAGTATAGCAGCCATCCCTTGTGGTGCTATTTCACACCGATCACCAGTTCAGAGCAAATGGAGCTGCTGAAGATGCTGGAGGATGGCTCCAACTCTCAGAACCAGGGGTCATCTCAGGAAAGGCACGACTGTAGCTGCTAAAATGCTGGGATGGTAAATGGCTTGCATAATTTAGAACAGCTGGAGGACTAGGGAAAATGCATTGTCTTTGCGATGTACTGGGCTAGGGTCTAGAGTTCACTTTCATCTATATTGACTCATTAAAGTAAAACAGAAAAACCAGTGTTTTACACTGCTGGTAAGATTTTATACTTACTCCATTAAATAGCAAACAGAGTCTGATAATCAGTTTCACTTGAGGCACGTAGAAGTTGTTTTCTTGTACTCGGAAGCCAGTTCTGGAGTTCACCTGCATTGATAACACACGATATGAAGAGGGGAGTCAGCAGATCCAGCGAGCTGTGCGTCTGGGTGGCAGGGCAGGACTGAGGAGCAGCAGGGCTCTCTGCAGAAAGAGCTCTGAGACTGCATGGGAGGACAGAAACGGCACCGGTAGCACAGCACTCAGCAGTGAGGAGTCTCAGAAAGCCACATACGAACTAGCAGGAAAGCAATTTTACAGTGAAGACCCCTTAACAGGACTCCATTGAGAGAGGGATGATGTTTCACTTTGGGTGTCTTTCAGTCGCTGGAGAATCTGAAGTTCCCTATTCATCATACTTGTTGGCAAAGATGTGATTTTGGAGAGGACAGTGAACATGTAAAGCTCCAAATGATGCAGAGGAGTAGGCCTGCTGCATTTTGAGTTTATTTATCTGGATAAATACAGATTTCAGAGTCTAAACTTCAAAGCCCAAATCTGCATTCTTAGCCAAAAGAATATTCCATTCTGAACAAAATACAACAACTCTCTCCATGCACACTTTTTGGCTTTCCTAAATTCTGAACATCTCAGCAGGAGAAAGGATGGTTGTCAAGAAGAATACAGTAATTACCTCCTTTCTTTCCCTGATCGTATGCAGCTGCTAAACCTGCTCTAATTCTATCATCTCAGAAAATTTCTCAGGTCACAGGCTCTTAAAGCACGACGCAGTGTTACAGTGGCAGCCACAATGTGCCACACAGGGGGGTTGACCTTTAAATGCCATGAGCAGTTACTGGGGTGAGGGATGTCACCAGCAGGAAGGGGAATGGGCGTGCTGCATAATGGAGAGCCCATCCATAGCCCTGGATGCATCAGTCCATGTGCTCCTCACCACTGATAGCATCCCTGCCAGGGGCTACAATGTGCTTCAGCTCTGCATTTCTACAGAGGGTCAGCCAGGCTCAGCTCAAGAGCAGGATTCTTTCAAAGCTATGCTGGTGCACAGCCAAAGAGGTCCCTGAAGAAATGCCAAATGTTCCTTTGTAAGAAGGAAACCCAGAGAATTAATCAAGTAAAACAGGTTAAAATATTCTATCTTGTACTGATAAGTCCTGTTTAACGAGGATTCAAACTCTTTCTCACCTCATAAAGAATCTGCAGTATTTGCAGAGTCTCTGTTTCGTGCGGGTACAGGAAGTAGGGGGTTCTTTGACAATCTCTGACTTGCATGGCAAATTGAGACAGTTTTTTCTGGGAAGCTCTCTGATATACAGTGACCAGCTCCTTGAAAAAGGATTCTTCTAGATTTGACCACAGGCATTCTGCAAGGAAAACAGCTAGGGAAGTATCCATCAGAGGTAACATGCAAATAACTACCACTTCTGGATGAAGCTGCATTTTCTCTTTTTATCAAATGAACTAAACCAAAAAATATTGCTTCATTTTGCTCTACAAAAATCAGGAAACCTCAGACTGAGAATTTTTCTTTCTTGTGTCTTGCTGCGTAGTCCCCATGTTTCTACTTCTACCAGAAGCGTTTCTTCCAGGCTGAACTGGCGATACTAATTCTTGCTCTGCAGCCAGAAATGACCACACGTTTAAATCACTCAGTTCTATCATCATAAAATCCTACCAAGAGTTCGCAGGTCCTTTGGCTGGAACTTCGTGATGACTTGCGCTAGCAGCCCGAGAGAACGGTTCGAGCTGTCGTCCTCTCCCTGCAGAAGGAAAGGCAAGATCAAGTAGACTCTGAAATTTTCGGGTGAGGTGGGCGAGGAAGACAACGATGGCAGTAACTTCTCAATCTCCTTTTGCACCTTCAAATGAAAAAAAAAAGAAGAAGAGGGAAAAGGTTAAAAATGCAATTATATTTTGCCAAAATCATCTATGAGTTAGGCTGGCACGGAAATTCCCAAGTTTCACGCACAAATCCAGGGCTCCTCAGGATCCATGTAGTGAGAATCCTTGTATCAATCACATCCTTACCTCCTGCAAGACTTTTGGGTGCTTGCTGATCCTCTCATAAAAATGTTGCACTTGTGACATGTCTACACCTGAGACTTCCTTCGAAGTTCTGAAATGTTTGTCTCTGTCACAAAGGAAAAAAAGGACACCAAATGATGTGCAAAGCTGGGTTTTTTGGTACTGACTGAATAGTGAAGCATCCTAACATCAGAAAATTCTTGGAAAGTTCATCCTGACTCCTAATAATATATTCTAATATATTCTTAGATATTATAATAATATATTCTAATATATTCAGACTGTGTTGTGACCCGATCAATATTCTGTCCTTCCTGTCTTGTGTGGCTGTGCACTGTTAGTGGTTGGCTGCCTGTGTTTCACCCTAAACCGACTTGCACTTCAGTGCTGGGAGGAGCTGTTAAGGATGCTTTGGGAGCAGTAATGTTGCCTAAAGGGATTATCATCAACTGTCAGATGTTCCTGTGGGATAATCTGTTAGAATGTGAGCTTCTCTAGCAAATTTCAGTAGGACTGGGGAGATAAGAAACTTAATTTTAGCTTGGGCTTTGAAAAATACAGGCTTGCTTCTTGCAAATTCAGATATGACGAATCTTCTCTATGTACACGGCCTAAAATAACACTTTCTGGTCAGTTTACACGCAGTCAATATATTCTGTTATGTTTAAGTCAGCACACACTACCTTTTCTCCAGGAAGCTTCCATTGATGCAAGCCTCTGATGAAAAGATCAGTCTGATATTCCTGATAGGAAAAAAACAAACCAAAATCAATCTTTTCAACATGCGTAGCAACTTCAGGTTTTTTAATTCTGAAAGAATAAACACCGTGTCTACAAGTGTGTCTGCACCTGGCCACATAAAACTTTTCTTAGCACCCCTTTATTGAGAGCATTGCAGAAGACGTATTCGAGGAGTTAGTCATCTTCCCTTCCTATGGAGATCTGGAAATAACCCTTTCTCTCTCACCCTCTCTACAACCACTTTCCACATGATCCAAACCATACTAAAAGTGGCCAGGGAAGCATTTAGATCCAAATTAGCCAAGATTTTTAAATGCTCAAAATAAGCAGCTGGAGTCAGACTTGCCCAAATGAAATAACCTCCCACATAAGATCTGTAAAAAAGAGTACATGAAATTCTCAGCCATAAGTATAAATCTTCCCACAGTGGTACACTCTTGCTGCTTTTGAAAATGAGTAACCAAAGAAGAGATCGCTAATTTTTAAATGCTGACACACACAAAACATTCCAGTTTGGGTAATTTTTTTTTTAAATTACAATTTTTGCACAAGGCCTCGGTCTCCAGACCAAATTTTTCACTGCTTTACCTTGTCAGCTCTTCATCAACGTAACAACCATTCTGTGCAAGAGGAGGAGGACAGGGTTCCAAAACCAGACAGTACATCTGTCCTGCTCCTGCAAAAGGGTCATGGAAGGGCTGTTCCTTATCAACATACACATTACAGATGTCTCAGCTACATTCTTGAACATCAGCTCCTACAAGTCTCCAAAGTTTTAGAGAAAATCATGTATCAGAGGAAAAACCCAAACAAACCAGCAGGTTTCTGACTTACTTTTTTACACTCTCCCAGTGTTGCGATCTGGACTTAGAAATCCATGCATTCACATCTTCATCCTTCAGAGTGGCAATACCATTCAAACAGGAATTCTGTGTGAAATGCATAAAAATACTGACAAGATTACAGGCCTAGCAGATGGGATTCTTTTTCTCAAGCCAATCATTACAAGACGATTTTGGCCTAATTATGAACAAATTAACGGTTATCCAGCATGATCTAGATCATGTATAATTACAATCCAGAACAGACACATAATTGCATTACAAGTTACTATATGGGTAAGCATGGAAACTGCAAGAGACACATATGAACTTGGCCCACTAAAAGCAGGAAAGGATGGAAAATCTAAATGTTTCCAGCAGTAATGTGAACAGTGGCCAAATTAGAAGCCATGATCAAGTATGCACATACCTTGCTTTTCTTGTAAAGGACAATACTTCGGTTTCCTTCTGCAAGAATTTCAGTCACCTTTGGTGATGTTTTGTTTCCTGTGAAAGAATAAAAAGATGTTCAAAGGATGATCATCAAGGTCCCTTCCAACCGAAACCATTCTATGATTATGTTCAGTGCACAGACATGGGACAGTGAAAAAAAAAACCCTCAGAGAGTAGCTGTCTGTCTAGAAGTTGATTCTATGTGGCCATTATCCATGATGATAAATCAAGCAGCAAATGGAGTTATCTACCAGTTATCTCCTTCCCCTCTGCTCTGCCCTGGTGAGACCATATCTGGAATATTGTGTTCAGTTCTGGGCCCCTCAGTTCAAGAAGGACAGGGAATTGCTTGAAAGAGTCCAGCGCAGGGCCACAAAGATGATGGAGGGAGTGGAGCATCTCCCTTGCGAGGAGTGGCTGAGGGAGCTGGGTCTCTTTAGCTTGGAGAAGAGGAGACTGAGGGGTGACCTCATTAATGTTTATAAATTTGTAAAGGGCGAGTGTCAGGAGGAAGGAGCCAGGCTCTTCTCTCTGATGTCCAATGACAGGACAAGGTGCAATGGGTGCAAGCTGGAGCATAGGAGGTTCAATCTGAACATGAGGAAAAACTTTTTCACTGTGAGGGTAACAGAGCACTGAACAGGCTGCCCAGAGAGGTTGTGGAGTCTCCTTCTCTGGAGTCATTCAAAACCTGCCTGGACGCGTTCCTGTGTGACCTGGTCTAGGTGATCCTGCTCTGGCAGGGGTTGGACTGGGTGATCTTTTGAGGTCCCTTCCAACTCCTGAGATTCTGTGATTCTGTGACCATAGAATCTGCTGGGATGACCAAGCAAGAATGAGACATGTTAGCCTCTCAGTGTAAACACAAAATCAAGAAATCAAGCATCTCCCTGAAAGAAATGAATACAGTTTGTACACATCTGCAATGGTCATTACCCCAGTAGGCTTTTCCAGTGTTCACTGGTGAATTGATGGGAAGTGGTATCAACTGATTAGGCTTTCTCTCATCTCTCAGCTGTCCTTCTTCACCAGAACCAAATGAATAGACTTTGTCCAAGGAGGGGACATAGACCAGGGTGTGCTGTCTGTTCAGAAACAGAAAAATGGTCATAATAAGTTAATACCTCTGGGCTAGTTAGAATAAAATTTACAAGTATGTTTTCAGAGTGGATAACTGAGGCTTGTCTATCCTAATAGTCCAGCTACAGGATCCCTTTAACCAAAGTCTTAGGACCCTTCCTTGCACAAACATTCAGCAATAAAGAAATGCATGGACTCAAATTTCCTTCACTATCCTCTGATGCTTGGGATCACACAGGTTCCACATACAAAAATAAAGTGTTACGCCTTGCTAGCTTCACGCCCTTCCATTTGTAAAAGTGCAACTTCTATGCTGCTGAGCCTGATACAACAACCAGGGAGGTGGACAGAAGACCTTTTCTAGCCCAGTTTCATAAAGGCAGAAGGAAATTCGGGAATTATCACCGCTCTCCGGTTCTTTCCGAGGACCCACCAGTTTGTCAAAGTGGACAGGAATTCACTCACTTTCCTGGTGCAGATTGTTGACAATGTTTTGCCCTTTGGTACCCAGTACACCCTTCGTTTCTTAAAAGAGCAAAAAACCAAGGGTTTTGTTACTGGTACTCGCCCACCTGCCGCAGGCAACCTGTGAAACTCTTGCTCCCCACAGCTCGGCCACCACGCGAGGTACGATTTCATTTCGGGTGGAGTTGTGGCCAAGCTGGCCAGCCCCCCCTGCTCCAAAGGTGCACACCAACCCCTCCTGGAAGATGAAGAAACAAACAACAGGATCACTGTGTTATTAACGGCATTCAAATGGTCACCACCGAGAGTGACAGCCAGCAAACAGACTATGTTATATGGGACTTGGTTCAAAACATCCCTGATTCAAACACAGGTAGAGTTCACTTTGCATCAAGCCTAATCTTGTCTAATTTCCAAATAATTTAGCTCCTGACAAAAGCAATTTAACTCCTGAAAATAATTCCCTGTTGTTCCAAGAGCTTTACTTGTATGAATAAACCCTAGTGAATTGGCTACTGTTCACATTTTCTGAAGTCCCCAGAACGCTACAAAAAAAGATAATATTTTCAAAAAGCACCAAGAGTGGAACTGCACCTCTTTGCCCCAGGATTCCCATTCATCATTCCCCTGTAAATGTTTGCATACAAGTGACTGGAACCTGAGAGGAGGACAGTTTTCCCAATAGCTTAGTTAGCATCTCAATAGCTTAGTTAGCATCCCTTGGGGATCATCTTCAGACGTGGATGGAAGCAGGCATTGCTATCCCAATTTCTCCATGCTGAATTTAGCAGTGTATCTTTTCTTGCAGGGTGGAGGTCTCAGATGCTGAGTTTCAGACTCACCTTGGAGAGCACTGCAGTATGGTCTGCCCCGCAGCAGATAAAGACAGACTTCCAGTGCTCTAACGCTTCAATGTACGACGGGCAGTCCCTGTCTGGAAAGAAGATAGCACTGCTAAAGTGGAAGAGGACTGGGGGGTCTCACGCAAAGAAAGATTTAGTAAAAAAGGCTTTTAGAACTTTTCAGTCCTCCCTGAGACCAATTCATGCATTTAATTTGAGTTTGCAATTTGAGTTGCTTTCTACCTCCACTATAACATACTCCTTCTTGTACTGTTATGTCTTTCTCATAGTATTTTCTTTTCATTTAAGTTCAATCTGAAACAAAACACAGTGCTTTCACATCTGCTTGCCTAAAGGTACTTGGCTTCAAAATATCTGACTCTCAAGGGACTTGAGACTGATTCGGATCTTGCTGCCTTCAGGCTCTGTCTGGTTAGGGCAACTCTGCTCTAGCCTTTAGGTTTGAAGGCAGTGGGTGATTTTAATTATTCTCTCACCTCGTGTTTACAGATAATTAAAGAAGGCAAAGAGGTATAAAATTTCCTTCTTGTAAGACTGCCTGGAGAGAGAATGGGAGTGGAAAGAGATCTCTGAAATATATGGTTTGATGAGCCCATGCTAGCCAGATGGCCTCAAAAAATGATTAGAAGTTCTCTGCAGAAATACAACTCCTAAATCACTTGTCCCTCCATGCGTTTCCTGGTCAGGATACAATAGATTGGAAACAAAGACCTTATCCAAACATTACTTTCTTCAAAAGACTGAATCTGCTCCAAAGGGACTTGGCAGTGTGGGGCCACTCCTGTGTCTGCAGTGAGCTCACCGACCAGGAAAATACCTTCCTATAGCTTTGCACTCAAACTCCTGCCTTTCCTTACCTTCTGTGTCTCCGAGTCCCAGCTGCCCAAAATCGTTCTTTCCCCAGGAGAATACAGCTCCAGAGAGCGACACGGCGATGCTGTGAGCTCCTCCAGCAGCAATCTGAGCAAGCGCAATGCCTTTCAGCCTCTCCACCAGCTGTGGCTGGGGGATGAGCGTGGTTTGGCTCCCCACTCCAAGCTGTCCGTGGGCGTTCTGGCCCCAGGTAAAGAGCTCACCTCCTTCATGCACAGAACAAAAGAAGACAGCTCAGCCTCACCGCTGCCCTTAAGTCTTTGCACTTTGGGAGTGGGAGTGAAAATCAGTGCTGTTTTGAGGGACCTAGCTCTGAGGTGAGATCATCATCTGTAGCCAAACCTTCCTGCTTGCTTTTCTGACCCCTTTGGGGCAGTCCCATGCTGCCCATGTGTGTGACTCAGCACAGCAACAATAAAGCAGGGTGTTTCCACCTCTAACGCAATACTTGCAGGGAGGTGCTCCAACTTAAGAACAAGCAGGGCCGGTGACTGCAGAGTGGGGCAGCCACGTCTGCTCTCCACCACACACCTTTGAGGAGGGATAAGTGCTAAGGCACAAGAGAGGGACAGAGCTGCAGATCGCTGGGTGGTGGGAGGGAAGGACAGTACTGATAGCCAACACACTTCGTGTCCCCTACTCATTGATCTCTCATGGTGTCACCAGCTATGGGAAGTGGTTCAAAAACTCCCTTCTGAGAGCAAACCTGCCATAAGGTGACTCCTGTTTGAAGGAAAAGTGTGCTTGAAAGAGGCTACCTCTGGACAGTGCCATGGCGTGCTGGTCCCCACATGCTATTTGAACAATGTCTTGGTTTCTGAGTTCTTTCACCAGCCTACAAAAATAAGGAAAAAAAGGTCAAAATAGAGAGATGCTGTGCCATGAGACAAAGTAAAGCAAGAAGATCCTCTCATCAAGTCCTAGCACATGTAATGACAATTATGTAGAATAATATAGGTTACCATAGCTGATTCACCCTGCTCTTATGCTACCCTGCTGCTGCTGCGCTAACTGATTTGATTGGGGTTTGCACCACAGGAAGCTGGAAGAGAATCAGGCTCAGCCCTGAGCAAGTTAACAGAAAATCCCACAACAAACTGCTGTGCCATTTTTAGATGATGGTTACCCTCACAGCTGAATCGGAAGGTGGTAAAATTCAGATGTGCTTGGGTGTTTTGGCCACAGCTTTCCCAAGCCATGTGTTATTTGCAAGTCGTGTGCATTACTCTGGTATATGCTACCGATCCTCACTAAGTCTCTGAGATAAAGCTGTCTCATGTGCACCTCAAGCAGCTCAAATCTTGGTATTATCCTCAAAATCGGCGCACTTTTTGCTGGCGAACAAAGGAAGATAAAGTTTTTGGTACTAGGAATGTGTGTGCTCCAGTTCCCTCACTACGACAGGAACACACCTCAGTCTCTTGGAAGTTACCTTTAGGAAAAGGGGGCCACCTTCTCTGCCTGTTACCATCCATACCTCCACCCCATGAAAGCTTCTTACGTTGTCTTGCAGCAGTCAGCTGAATCTGTAGCCCACTGTTCAGAAAGCTTCCCATCAGAGAGAATGAGCTTGTGTGTCGCATCATGGTTTGAACATTGCACCTTCACGTTCCACTGCAACTGTGTGGGTTCTGCAGAACAAACATGGACAGGCACAACAGTCACTCTAAGGCAGTTGGCATCTTAAGCATTTCAGCCCCCTCTCCAAGGTCTCTGTGTGCTACAGAGCTTCTGCTTCTCGGGAAGATGTGTGTAAAGTGTGCATTATTGATTTTCTCAGAGTCCTTGTGTTTCAGTGCCAACCCACTGCTTGGTTTCATGCCCGACAACTCTTCTGGCTATCACTAAAAGACATTTCTCCATCTCTTAGGCTGCTGCCACCAGCTCCCAAGACAAGCAGCGAAACACCAGCAGAAGCACACTCTGTTACTTTTACACAGCTGTGGAGAGTGTCCCGGGGAGATAAAGCACTTCCTGAGGTATCTGATCACCTCAGATTTGTCACAGTCTTGGGGATGGGATGCCTTCAAGTCACATGTTTTACAAGTCACTGGAAAAGCAATGATGGAAAATTCACACATTGCCTGCACAAGCATGGAAGTTGATCATCAGCAGATCTTCCTCTGATTTACCCAACACCTCTTAACTCCCGTTGTCCAACCTTCTCACACCTCCCCAGCTCAACCACCTCATGTAGCCAGAGAGGAAAAAATTCCTGTCCGTCCCCCGGCAGGGGGTGCCTCCTTCCAGCCTCCCCCATCGCTGCGCACCGGGACACGGCGAAGCCTCTCACGCAGGGGTTTCGTGTCCCCGAGGGGCAGCACGGCAGACCATTGCAAATTTAGCGGTCCCACCTCCACGACCCCGTCCCGGGGGCTCCCACCCCCGGCAGGGCGCTCGCCCCCC